TTTGAAACAAATTTGTTCAGCTAAAAGATCTCCGCAAGGTTCTGAAATTATATTTGTAACAATCTCGTTCACTATGTAGCCATAAACAGTTTAAAAAAGTTATTTTTCCAATGCTCCAACAGGAGAAAGGCCATTCCTTTCGTAAGGTAATGCAAGCTTATCGTATCAAATTATCTCTTATGTACCAGCATTTACTTTACAATGAATGTAGAATTTTGGGTTTATTAGCCGGATAAAGTTATTAGCTTCTATTATATCTAAATTTTTATTTGTAAATAAAACTTTTAAGAATTTTTAAAAAAACAAGTGTTGGTATTTGACAAAAATTTTTTTTGCTTATGCTTATATCGGTAACCGTAAAGAAATAGTTTTTGAAAAATGGTGTATACTAGACGCAATCGTTTATATCGTGATGAGAAGAAAATTACGGTTGATTTTATGCTTTTATAGTTGTTTAACATCATAAGCTTAAAATTGCGAAGAAATAAGTAATCAAAAATTGACATTTTGGAAATCTTAACGGATTACAATTTATTCGGAAAAGATGCGAAAATAAAAAAAATTGTCCTATTAAAATAAAATATTTTTCTTAAAATACCAGGTTTTAAAACTTCAAATTGCTGTTACTGCTTGTTCACGGAAAAAAATCACCCCAGAGTTTTGAAAATATAAAATTTTCACAATATTTTAAACATCATCTAGAAATTTTAAAGGTGTTTTTGGCTGCAATATGTTGTTAACTAAAAATGTGATATGGAAAAGGTTTTTTATGCACAAAAATATTGAAAAAAATTTTTAAAGGGACCGATAGCTGACCAGATAACGTAAAACTGCATTATTTTTTTTACAAATTTACTAATTTAAGCTCAAAAATTTCGTGTTTGAATTTTTTTTTTTGAATCATAACAACAGTTCGGACATGATGTCGTAAAGAATAATGATGATTAATAATATTCTGATGAAACAAAAATTTATTTATACTTTATACCTCAATTAGTCTTATTAGCTTTCAAATTTACTTCATTTAATCATTAACTTTTTGCGTAATAGAAATTGTATATGAAATGATTGATCGTAATTAAATTCTTCTTATAACTTTTAAATTAATAACCAAAAACCCATTATATTGAAAGAACTGAAAGGAACGTGTACATAATATAGTGAAGCATAACACACATGCATCCTTGAATACAGAAATTATTCAGTTCGAATGGAGAAGAAATGCTTATGAAAACATACACAAGTGATTAAATAAAAAGGAAAATTTAGAAATCTTTATTGAATGAAAATCGAAATTTTATTATTGAATCAAAATAATCTTTGTATAATGGTAAAATTCGAATTTTAAGTAAAAATACCAAACATGGAAACCATACATAAATCCAATATTATTTTCCTTTTAGTGTGCATTTTATTCAAATAAGAAAATAGATTTTTTTTTTCTCTTTTTTGGTTCTGAGTTACTTGTCTTTACTATCTTTATAACATCTTCAGTTATTCAAATTCAATCGTGTAGATATATATATATATATATATATATATATATACGTAATTCTTTTATAGCGAACAAGTACATATTTTCAATGCAAATTTCCTAGTTTATTCCCTGGAGTTTTTAAAATATTATTCTCTTTGTTAACTGTGTTGAAGATTTTTTTATTTTCCATTATTTTTTTTCAATGAAAAAAAAATATCCTTTTGAAGTTCTTTTTCTTTGTTTTTTTCATTTTTCTACAAAATTATCTAAAGTTTTCAGGTTCAATTTTTGCTTAACTGGATTTCAATGCAGTTTGATAAAAAAAATCAAAAAAAAAAAACTTTAACACAGAAAGCAGTAACTGATAGAGGAGTGCTTTAAAGTATGCATGATTTTATAAATTTTAAATTTTTTGAAATAAAATAAAAATCTGTTTTTTAAGTTTTTGTTTTTAAAAACTCCCTACTATACAGCAAATAGGGACAATGTAAAATTAAAATTTAATTTAAAACTTTTTTTTCGTTCAGAAATTCTTTTTGTTTTGTTTAATTGTATTGTAATATGATAAAAATATTAAAAAGGAGGAGAAGATGTGCTGCAATGCTACAGACTTCAATAAAACTCTTTAAAATTCTAAATGAAACAGGATTGTAAAACTATTGTAAGGACACACTTATTTGCTTACCTTTGTAAAAAACAAATATTTTTTCTCTATAGCATTTTAGGTTTTAAATGATAGATTTCCGAAATTAAATATTAATATTTGTGTATTTGTAAATCTGACTTTGTATTACTGACTTAAAGTGACTATAAATCTGACTTAAGTATTTGTACTGATGATTTCTTACCATTATTTTTGTTCAATTCTTTTAAAAACTTTTTACTTTTATTGATTACACGATGTTTTCGTAAATTTTATTAGTATTGCTGATTTAAAAACCATTGTGTTCCAAAACCAATTCATATACTTTGTGAAGCTTTGTTGAACAAGAAACTTTTATTCTATAGGGTGTTTGGAAATAAGTACTCTAAAAAGGTAAAAATTATTCGCAACAAGTAAAATTAAAACTCAATTAAAAATCAAGTGGGAGATTGAAACCTCTCTGTGGAAAAAGGTTTGAGGTAAAAGTCTTGTTTTTGAGGGTTTTCTTTCAAATACATATTGTCAGTTACATTTTTTTTTGTTTTACCAAGATTTTGACGGTTTTACTTAAATCACCTTATTTCTTTTCTCATCTGAACACAGATTACATTTCATTGCTTGAATATTTCAAATATTTGCGACATTAAAATCTACGAATTTTGGTAATATTTTTTTTTTTCAATGAGAATGATTGAGATATTATAATAAAAAAATATTGCATACTTTTAGGGAAGCGGTTAGAGGTACAAATTCTAATTGATTCAAAATTGATTTCTATTAGAGTTTTGGATTTTTTTACTCTATGTTATTGCTGGTTATAGCAAAGTAATTTTTAAATAAATACGATAGCCACCCTATCGTATTAATTGATATTAAAGGTACATACGTATATATATATTTATACTTAATGTAATTTTATTCTCATTTTATATAATTGAGTAATTTCGAAAATATTGAGTTAATCCTTGAGTTAAATCATAATAAGAATTATAGTGTAAAGTTAAATGCATTTTAAAAATTTTTTTTTCGGTCCAGTCTTTAGTAGAAAGTATGAGAATATGTTTTGACACCACATTATTAAAATAAACCAATAAAATAAATCTGAAGAATTTTAACTTTTTAATTGTGGATTTTGCTTGTCCGCTGATTGATTAAATATTTCACTGTAGCCATGAAATGATTATAATTTCAACAAGTGTTGGCCTTGCCTTTTACTCAGATAAACAAATAAAATAAAAATTTTATTCAATCAGTAATTTTTTTAAAAGTGTTGGTTAATATCGAATTCCACATCTAGCTATCAGCACAAATAATCCAATATTTCTTATACACCCAAAAAAAATTCAACTAAAAACCATGACTTTTTTTTTATAATTTTCCTACATGAATTTATTTGTAAATAGTTTTTCTTTTAAATTCAAAGACCAAAATATAATTATAATTTATTTTTACAACATTTAAATTACTATTCTTAAATTAAATTCGTATTTTTAGTTAACTAAATTTTAATATTATATTTTATTTATATAATATTATATAACAGCTTATATAGGTTCTGATTAAATTACAAAAAAAAATGAGTAGTACTGCATTTTCGTATATAAATAGAAGACGTCTCTTATATTAAATAGACAATATATTTATTATCCGCATCCTGAAATTAAAAAAAAAAGAAAACAAAAAAATTATAAACCGATAATTAAAGAAAAATATATGAAAACTTCCAGGTTCAATAACTCTCCAAAATACACTCTTAGGGCTTGGATTTTTTGAAGAAACATCATAAAGGTTTCAAACTTTACAAACATGAGATGAACAACGACACAAAAAGGTAGAGGGATCGTTATGTTATAAAGTACTGAAATGAACTCAAAAACGCATAAATACTAAACAAGGGATATAGTGCTGGTCGTAATGGAATTGGATTAAAATCAAAACTATGGTCAAAAGAGATTTTTGTCAAGTTTTATCTCTCAGATTTTAATTTTAAAATTTTTTTTTATTTTGGATGTAATTTAAACAAAGGAAATGATTGTTTCTTGTTCTAGTTTTCTATCAAATGAAACGTATAACTTGCCAAATTAAGTTAAAATTAAAATGTATTGAACTCATTTCGAATTCATTAAAACCTAATCTTAATGACATTCATTTTCTTGAAAAAAATATTGTAAAATTTAATTTTAATATTTTTAATATTATAAAATTTGATAAAAACTTTTATTATATCTCTTGAATATTTTGATTTTCCGGAGAGAATTTTATTTTTCGGTTATTTTTCCAGAGAGAATCAATAAATGAATAACTTGAATCGGACTTTAATTAAAATAAATATTACTAACTTGTTTCTGTGAAATTCTAAGACTGTTCTTAGGAAGTTTTTAATAATAAAAATTAATTTTCTTTTTTTAGCATCCGCTATAGAATTACAAATTTTGTAAAATTTTAAGGGGCTGATCGTCTATCTCGATAATAGATCGTAATTCATACGTTAGAAGAATTATTCGGCATTGAGTATCTCGTTTTTTTCTAAAATGTAAAATTTGTTCACTTTGAGAATTCTGAATTGAAAAAAACAAGATACGGGATTAGACTGTAATTTTTTCATTTTTATTCTCTCTTAATTTGGCAATAATATCGTCTACATTTTACGGATGCAAATAACAAGGAAAATATTTCTTTATACACAATAATTATTTTTTTTTAAGTTTAGAAAAAAAAAACACCACATTATAATCTGAAACAGCAAATAGTAAATCACATGTATAAACTTAATGAATTTCGCCTTCATTATTCCTCAAAAATATCATAAAAAATATGTATTTAATGATTAAGGTAATTAAAACACACAATTAAAAATTATATAAGAAAAATAAAACTCACCTGTTTTAACTAATTTAAAGGTGACACCATTATGAGTTTTGAATGCCTCATTTAAATTTGGATGACCATAATCTTTAAGTATGCCTGTTGATGAGGCCATAGTGGCCACAGGGCCGAGGGAACCACCACGTGCTCCCCTCCACCCGAATAGACTACGTCCTTTTGCCCCACTTGATGATCTTAAGAAATTTACTAAATTCATTTATTTGCGATGTTGAATAAAGAAGAAAAAAAAAAGAAAAGAGAAAAAAGAAATAATTGTCATATTAAACAAAAATTTTCTCCAAATTCAAAAATCAAAAAAGAAAACCAAAAAAAAAAAAGAAAAAAAAACAAAAAAAATTTTTTTTTTTTCATTTTTAATTCATAAAACGCCACACAATCCCAAGCAAATTAAAAGAAAAATTAAAAAAAAAAAAATAATAGAAAAAAGTAGCGAAAACCCCAAATTAATTAGAGAAAAAAAAATTGTTTTTTTTATGTTTCAAAGAAAAATTAACTGAAAACTCAAAGAAAACTTTTATAAACTACAAAAAAAAAAGAAAACAAGAATAGAAAAACTTTAACTAATCTCAAAAATTTTACTGGCTGGCATCAATCAACCGAAAACTAAATTGACTGTGAAAACGTTCGCTTTTTTTTTATTTTTCTTATACATTTTCTTTTAAAAGCTACAGGGTGAAAACCGGAAAAATGAAAACAACCAAAACATGAAAATTTTCTTTTCAAACTAGCAATAAAGGGTGAATTGGGGAAAATTCAGCACATAAAATTCATAATGGGTTCATAATTAATGTAAGTTTTGTATGATTCCGGTTGCCAGTTCCATATATTATACCGTTTGTCATTTCTGGAACTTGCAGGCTTTGCGTTTAACAAGGTAGAGTAAAATATTTCCATTTTTTTTTCCAGCTGTTTGAGTTAAGTAAGTGATTTTTTAAAAATTCTTGATTTTCGCATTTTAAAAAAAAAATTTAACATTGTTTTTAAACTGTGCGCAGAAGCGCGTCACATAATTCTTAAAACTGCATAAAAAATTTCTACAAATTGAAATATGTGACGTTGTAGAAAAGGAAGCTTTCAATATACAATATGGAACTTGAACTTAAAAATTGTCAATAAAAATTTATTAATAATTTTTTTTTTTTAAATGATCAACGATTTGCTCTTATTTGAAAAATATTGTTTGGATGCTACTGAATGCCACCCAATTTACCTTATTATCTAAATTCTATGTTGCAGAGTAGCAAACAAAGTAATAGAAAAAAAATTTGTTTTTAGTTTCGCACTCCACCGCATAACATAATTAACTCTTTCTTATCCTATTTTTTTTATCAGCTTAATATCTGCTATAGACTTCTGTCACGGAAAAGTTTTCTTCTATAGTTTTATAATGTAAAACGGTGGATTAAAATTCATTAAAAGTTGAATAGTGTTTTAAGTTTTTCTTCATTTCTTCTGTTTTTTTTTTCATTCTTTATAACACTATTTACAAGTAGATTGTACAAAAAAAAAATTATGGAGAAAACTCATTTCTATAGGAAATTTCTGTGAGGATTTTAAATATGCTATCGGCATGATTTTGTAAATTCTTGTTTTTGTCACTTTTACCTATACAAAATTTATATTTCTAGATGTAGTGAAATAGAAAAACGGCTTATGGTTATATTATTTCTAGATAAGAAAACAAGAATACTTTTAACCAGAAAAAAAATTCAATTGAAATTTGAGTATAATTTAGTTACATGCTTGCTAATTGTGAATGTTTGTTGTCATTGTGTTTGAAAATGTTTAAGAATGTCTCATTTCAATCTCATTTTTTGAAATTAGATCTCATATTCTAGATATATGAATATAGAAATATGAGCAGACGTAATCGGTAATTGTAGAAAGGAAGCATAACTGATTGCAATATTCATTCCTATCAAATGTTCATTCCTGCGAGCATATAGAGTATTGTGTTAAAGATTAAAATTTAAATAAAAATAGGCGTTGGTTAATTGATTAAATAGAATAATTTAATTCTTTATTTCGATTCTGCAGTCACATTTTCTAGTCATTTCTCACTAAGAAATCTCATTTTCCTCATTAGATATGCCATTTTTCAAGCAAAGTTAACAATTTTTTCTGATAGATTTTTCGCATTTTCTTCCAAAACATTAACCAAAAATTTAGAAATTTCAACTAAATGTACGGTCATTCAAAAGAAAGTGACTAAATAATATTAATAAATTATGACTAAATTTTACATTTTTTTGGAAAAGACGATAAGAAAAAATTCTTTTCACTAGAAACATATAAAAGTCATTCCAAACCAAGTTTTGGATAAATTTTAGCTCATAATGAAATGTCACAAAATTAAAATTACAAGAATATTAATCTTGTGTCCACATCTAATCGAAATTAGAGCCTTTCATTTTGGAAACTTCTAATTAAAAGCGAAAAATGGAACAGCAAAAATTTATTTTAATGTGTTTAAATTGACAGAATTCTCTGTCATTTCATTTTATCAAAACCGGTTAATTTTGGGACATTCGCCGCATTACGTACTTAGATTCACAATCCTAAATTATCGGGAATAAATACGGGAATAGTTCCTCGCCTCATTATGAGCGAGAAAGATTCAAATGAAAGCAAAAAGAAAATTTTTTAGTAAATTTATTACCTTACAAATTTTATCAAAAAACAAAAATTATTTTTGTTTTTCTTTTTTAATGCAAAATCCTTAATGTGCAACAATAAAACTATTTTGTTGCTTTTAAAGTCACCCCTATGGATGAGAAATTACTTAAAGTTTTCTTTTATTCTCTTTTGTTCCTTTTTATAATCTTAAAATTTTTTTATATATAGGAAGGTTTAAAGGATTTCTATTATTGTTTTTTATTTTCTTATTCTTTTGTACTAATTAAATTCAAATAATGAACTCATCAAAGTTTCTTATTAAAAATAAACTTTTAAACTTGCGAGGTGTATACGAGTACAAATTTCCCTGTACATATGAAAATAAATTTATATATGTATGTAGGTATTGAAGTATACTTTTATATAAAATGCATAAATATATATAGTGGGTAATTAGTATAATAATTTGCTTTTTAGCACTTTTCTAAAAAAAATTTTTGAAAAAAAGGCTCATGAATTTCACTCTGTCCGTACGCTCGACCGCCCGTTCGAGGACATGTTTGCAAAACTTCTACAACCCTGAAGAAAGAAAGTTGAGATTTCATATGTACATAGACCTTTACTAAAAACTTATATCCATAGACAAAGATTTATTCCTATCTCTCTCTCTCCCTAAAACCTTAAAAATGCCATTTTTTAATTATTTGTTGAAGCGAAACGATAAGCATTTTTCAAATATTGCGAACGCAGAACAGTAGTGGCCGAATTCTTCTATTGCGGCATACTATATTTGAACTTTAAAAGAACAATATGGCCGTAAAAAATTTACTGTTATCTAAATCCGCTCTTTGCAAATTTTGATTTCGTTTTTTTTTTCAGACCTCAGGTTGTAGGAGTCAGAAATTTTAATAACTCTTAGATATTCATAAATAGTTCATTTAGTTGGAAGAAAATTTTTTTCCACCTCCACCTCTGTCAAATTATCACCCCCCGAAAATTGTAAAATTTGATTATATTCCACCTCATTCGATATTTCCGATACTGCAAGCTTTTCAAATTTCTGCAGAAGGCTAACGGTATATGCCATGCCATCAAAAATATAATTATTTTTCTCAACTCACACAATTAACCTCATATTTAACTCACAATTAAGAGCGTTATGTACCTCACTTAATCTCACAATTAAAAGCTTTATGTTAACACCTCTTCAAATTTTTTTTTATTTTATTTCAGATTGCATATTTTTGCTCATCCTGAATGTATGCAATCTTTGAAATATATAATGAAAATAATTTTAATAGTGTGGTAGGTATACAATGATTATATTTAAAAGCAGTAATTTCATTTGTTTAAGAGAAAAGTGCTGCATTATCAACCATTGGTTTGACCCAACTTTTATTATACATATATTATTAAAATTACAATATTACTCTCTAAATTATTTGCAAAATGCGTATAGGTATAACTTTTGACCTTTTAAAACCTAATTGTTTTGTCTCGTTATAATATCATTAACAGGTAAACGGTCTTTAATTATAGGATAAAATCAGTAGACTGTTTTATTTTATCCTCTCCTTCTCCTCAGCAAAATAATAATATGCTGATAAATATTTAATTTTCAATAAATACTGTGTTGTTAAAATAGCTGAATAAAATTTTGTATAATTATTCGTTTTGTATTAATTTTCTCTAATTGGCTGAAAATTTCATAAATTTATTTGACTAATTTTTTTTAGAATAAGTCGACTTATTTGGAATCATGTTTATATTATCATTTATAACTGATACAGCATTATTGAAACTGCAATCTACCTACTATTATGAATTCTTGAATAAATTATTCTTTTGGAACAACTGATTAAAAATTGAATTGAAAAAAATTGCTTGTGTGCCCCTATACAATTTTAATATAATTGTAAGTTAAATTCGAGGAAAGAATCCTATTGATAAATGAAAAATTTCCTATTGTTTATCGAAATTTCGTTACTTTTGTATCATTTTTAAAAGAGTCACCCGAATTACAAGGAATTTATGTGCAGACATTTTCTCAGCTTCTGTATAAACAAATTATTTAAAGTGCTTTTCATAAACCTTTGTTTTCTTTTGCATAATGTTTTTTATACCCGTACGAACGTATGTTCGAAGGGTATACTAAATTTGCCTTACCGTTTGTAACGCTAAGAAATAACGGTGTTAGATATAGACTCAAGTGTATGTTTTTGATCAGCGTCAAATTCTGAGTTGATTTAGCTTTGTCTGTCCGTCCGTACGTCCGTCCGTCCGTCCGTCCGTCCGAACGATAACTCAAAAACTAATTGAGCTAAGTTCACCAAATTTTCACAAATGATTTATTGTAGTAAGTGCCAGAACCCTATTTAAATTGGACATGATCGGGGTACCGGTTCGGGTAGCTGCCATACAACTTCAAAATTTATTTGGCTATATCTCAGAAACTATAAAAGTTATGGTATTGAAATTTCACACAAACGAATATATTAGTAGGGCCAATGTGTCTCATAAAAGTCGTTGAAATTACTTGGCTCCTTCTGGTACCTGCCATACAACTTCAA